CAGTGGAGCGATCTCACCGCCACACTTGGCTAATTTTGTGTATTTTAGTAGAGATGGGGTTTCACTATGTTGCCCAGGCTGGTCTTGAACTCCTGAGCTCAGGCAATCCTGCCCCTCGGCCTCCGAAAGTGCTAGGATTACAGGCGTGAGCCACCGCGCCTGGCTGACTACAAAGCAATTCTTACTGTTAGTCTATACCGGTGTATAGAGGTTAGTCTGTAATTCTGAGTTAGAAAATAGAATGGGTGGCTGCCTAGCTGCTGACTGGTGTGATTTCTCCAAATCCAGATTCTCATAAATAATCAAGGCTTATTTTAAAGTCTGAGTCTGTGGTCTTTTATTTTTCTACAACTACATATGTAAAAAGGCACTCCATGTCTTCCTGGGTATCTTTTATTTTTTCCTTGTAGACTGCCTGATAGATGCCATGTGCCAAATGTGTGGTCATGTTATTTTTTCATCCAAACGCACTGCATTTTTGGTAGTTAATCCAATTCTGGTGTGCTCTCCTGTTGTGGGAAAACAGGGTAACAGACACTTTGCAATACATTGCAGGGACTCGGCATCCATCTCAAGCTGACAAATCCATCTCAACCTTCAAATTTTAAGGTTAAGAAATAAGTACAGTGACCCCATAGTACTAGAAGCCACATTTTTTTTTTTTTTTTTTTTTTAAGACAGAATTTTGCTCTTGTTGCCCAGGCTGGAGTGCAATGGTGTGATCTCAGCTCACAGCAACCTCCGCCTCCCGGGTTCAAGTGATTCTCCTGCCTCAGCCTCCCGAGTAGTTGGAATTACAGGCGTGCGCTACCACGCCCGGCTGATTCTGTATTTTTTTTTAGTAGAAATGGGGTTTCTCCACGTTGGTCAGGCTGGTCTCGAACTCCTGACCTCAGGTGATCCACCTGCCTTGGCCTCCCAGAGTGCTGGGATTACAGGCGTGAGCCACCACGCCCGGCCTTAGAAGCCACAATTTTACCCTTTAGTGAGAAAGAGTTTAATCAGATAATCCTCCCAACATCTGATGGAGCTCTAGAGAGAAGGCAGAGGGTCTCAACGCAATGGATGGGGTTGAGAGTACAGAGGGCCAACCCCAAAGGCGGGGTTCTGGACAGCCAGAGAGCAACTGGAAGGTCCTTCAAAGGCACATTGGCCTTGTGATTTTTTTATGAAGCCATCGTTCTATCAGCCAAGGGTTCTGCCGACTGGAGAGGTGGCTATGGGCTTCCAAAATGGTAGCCAAAATAGGTGACTACAGGTAGATGGAGCAAGTCTAGTTTTTTCCCTTTTGCGCCTAATTCTTCCTCCTAATTATTTCAGATAATTTGGCAAACTTGTCCCTGGAAATCTGGCACCACTGGGGCTCCTGTCTCTCAGAATTAAAAAAAAAAATCCAGTCTCTGCACAGGCCACCCAATAGGAGAGACAGATCAAAGCTGCCTTTTCTTAGCAACAGAAGCCTTGCCCAGTCACCGTAGAAGAGATCTCTGCCGAACTCCCTCCTCTTTGAAGAAACACAACAGAGTCCAAGTGAGAAGTAGCTACAGTTTAATACAAACCTGCACCAGAACACAACGTGTCGGGCTGTTTAGTTTTTGCCTCAAACGGTGGCCAAAGCACAGGACCGTGTGTCGTCTTGGGGTTGACACAGTCTTAGCACCATGACATTTACAGGGGCGTGGGGAAGTCACCTGGGTGCTGGGGTGCTGGAGGCTCCATCCCGACCCCACGCTGTGCCTGCGCCTCAGCAGCTGGAGGGGGTTTGGGTTTCCTTGTGGTTCTGTGGCTTCTGGGTCAGTATCGGAAAAGCCCTCAGCACGACATCGGCTCGACAGAGACCTACTGTGGACTCCTAGCACTACACACACGCACGCACACGCACACACAGTAGCACAATTTTCTGGCAACTTAACCCCACAAACCTAGAGAGCAGCTAAGGCAAGAACAACAGTATTTATTCAGCAAGTACAAGACCAGTTTGAGAGCTGCATTCAGTGCAACCAGAGACCCTTTCATTCCAACCAGGAGCCAGTGGGGCTGGTGACGAAGCTGGCTGGAGCTCTGCACGGGGCAAGGAGTGCATGGTGGGGGCTGACCGCTCATTCGGCTCCTTGAATCTCTTTCTGATTTCCATCTAGAAGCTCCCGGGCAAAGGGTAGGGCCTATGTAAGGACTGGGGGTGGATGAAGTGGATGGCCTACAGTGGACCACTCCAAGATGTGGTTCCCTGGTGCCACGGGTCACGCATCTCTTGGGCGGAGGCACTCAGAGAAGGTAAAGCTTTCCTAGCCCAAGCAAGGATGCTTTGCCCAGCTGGCCACCACCACTGCTGCTGGGCTCTTTGGCATCTGCCCAAGGCCCATGACCCAGTGAGGGCTGACAGGGATAGAGATGGTGTGCACTGCACCAGGAGGCAGTGTCATGGTTTCCCCTATCCCTGGTGGCTTTCCCAGGCCTGAGTCTTCACCCCTGTTCCAATGGCTGCCACTTGCCATGAGCCCCTTCGCCACCTCTGCTCCCTGACTGACCACCTCTGTCCTCTCAGCCCCTGAGTGAGGAAAGGGGGAGTGAAGGGAGAAGTGAGGGTGTGGATGCAGCTCACACTGCACAGTTAGCCCCCAAAGGGTGACTAGTCCTAGCTCAAACACAGACTGTGCATGAGATTGTTTATAAGAAAGATGAGGAAAAAAAATCTATCTACCTGTGCAAAACAAAGCAGGCTGCCTACCAGGAAAGTAAGTCTTCCTGTTGGTTAAACTCTCAGGTGGGATCTACAATAGATGTCACCCCAGACCTCCTCTCCACAGCTGGGGTAGATAGCCAAGGTTGGAAGGGTGGTCACAGACACTTCTGGGGTCAGAGGGCCTGAACTTTTTGGGCCTCAGTTTCCTCATCTGTAAAATGGGAAGAATAGTAAGTGCTCCATTGTCATGAGGACCAAGTGAGAGGTCATATATGGAAGTGGTTTGAATACACGAACAGCACTACAGAGATGTGCAGAGGCTGACTTTTTTTTTTTTTTTGAGACGGAGTCTGGCTCTGTCGCCCAGGCTGGAGTGCAGTGGCGCGATCTCAGCTCACTGCAAGTTCTGCCTCCCGGGTTCACGCCATTCTCCTGCCTCAGCCCCCCGAATAGCTGGGACTACAGGCGTCCGCCACCTCGCCCGGCTAGTTTTTGTATTTTTAGTAGAGACGGGGTTTCACCGTGTTAGCCAGGATGGTCTCGATTTCCTGACCTCATGATCCACCCGCCTTGGCCTCCCAAAGTGCTGGGATTACAGGCGTGAGCCACCGCGCCCGGCCAGAGACTGACCTTTAACTGAGGGTCCAGAAACCTTGCACAAGCCTCAGGGGCTGAAATCACATGTGCAACATGAAGTCACTTCCCATGGGGCAGACAAGGCTTAATAAGGGCAGGCGGCCGGGTCACTTCCCAGACCACTGGAGGTGGAAGGAGACACCCGGCCTCTAGTGTTTCCATGGGAACTTCTGGAGGGCCTCAGAAGCAGGGAGGGCCTACCTGGACAGACGGGGAGAAGATGAGGCCATGAGCCAGCGAGGGCCTGGTGCCAGCCACGGGAGATCACGGCACCTGAGCAGCAATGTGGGTTCGACAGCCAGGTCCTGTGTGCCTGGGGTCTCCCTCCCTGGTGTCTGGCGAGCCCCTCTCCCACTCCTCCTCTCTCAGCAGGCATGAGGCCTCTTGCCAGTCACACAGGAGGAGCACTGAGTCTCTGTCCAGCAGGAAGAAGTTACAGGAAGTCGTATGTGTGTGTGTGTGTGGGGGGGGGTGGGTGGAGATGGGGGGAAGGCAGGGGGAGTGCCGGGAGTGAATGGGGCAGAGAGGGGAAAGGACACCTGCTTCCTGAAGGGCTGGCATCTCCGGGGCTAGCATCCCAGGCCCCCTCTTGGAATGTGGGAAACTAGACAAGGAGGGGAGGGGAGGGGGAAAGGGCCTGGGCCTCCAGCAGCCCGGAAGGCCCCAGGCGGGGAGAAGAGAGGCCTGTGACCCCAGCCCCTCCACCGCCCCTGCCCTGTGCTGTCTGGTTGGTGTCGAGTGCAGCGTCTCCTAAGGACCACATCTATTCCTGTTGCTATTCTATGCTAGTGACACAAGCACCGTTATTTTTCACAGGATGCACAAACAAGTCAAACCAAACTACTGCGCAAACCAAACGTGCAAAACCAAACCATTTACACGCGCCGGGCACCAGCCTCGAGCCCCGCCCAGCTACCCTCCTGGACCTGTGACCCCCCGAGGGTGTGGGCGGGGCACAAGAGAAGCTGGCGAGGGGCACCGGGTGTCCAGCCACCCCCATCCCTGCCCCTACACAGGGCCAGAGGTGGGTTGGGGGAGATGGGACGTCCTGGGCATGGCTGGGAAGCTGACACCTGTCTGGCTTGGGAAATGTCACCACAGGGCCTAAGGGGTGGGGGAGGAGGCCTTTACTTTGAAACCACATCTGCTAAAGTGCTCTGGACAACTGGGCAGTCAGCCAGGGGGCAGGGCACTAAAGTCTGGGCTTTCCCAAAGCCAGCGGAGGCAGGAGTGAGAGGAAGGGCTGGCCAGGGCTCTATGCACTGGGCTCTGTGCACAGTGTGGGCTTCCTGGGCCCCAGAAAAGCCCACGGAGGCCAAGGCAGAAAGGACTACAGCAGGAGGAACACATCTCAAAGTGCCTGTTAGAGTTGGCTCGAAGCACAGTGAATCACTTTGCAGACATAGGGAGGGCTCCGCAGGTCCTGGGGCCCCCTTTGGGTGGTGTGCTGCCCAGCCCAGCCTCTCCTGCCCCTGAAGCTGTGGCCGGAGAGTTGCGGACTGGTGGCGGCGGTGTGTCCTCACTCGGGGGGCTGGGCAGTGCCTTTACCAAATGCCACTCGACCTGCCTCCGGGAGGAGCGAGGATCCGAGCTGAAGCTCGCTTTGGAACATGGTCATCGATCTGAGAGCCTGCAGGGAAGGAAGCACAAAGGGTGAGCTGGGCTCTTGTGCCTGCTAACAAACCATAGTCACCCTCTCCTGGAGGCTCACTGTGTGCAGGGCCTGAGTGAATCCTCACAGTCACTCCATCCCATTTTACAGACGAGAAGACCGAGGCTCAGGGAAGTTAAGTGACTTGCCTCGTGTAGCAGTGTGTAACGGCAGAGCCTGGACTTGGACCCAGGTTTTCCAGATTCACAGCCTACATTATTAACTGCCCACTGTGCCAACCTCACTGCCTCACGTCTGGGCATACAGTCTCTTGTGCATGCAGGCCATCAGCCAGCCTGTTGGCACATGGGCCTTTGTACATATGCCTCAGTGAGTAAGCAAGAGAGAAAAATGAGGGTATGCCATTGTTTTGGAAAATGAAAGAACCACAGCCCAAAGGCCCCGCATCTTGAAATCCCATGACTTAGTTACAAAGGAGGGTCTATACAGAAGGAGAAGGATTGAAAAGAAAACAAAAACAAACAAAACACAAAGGGAGGGAAAAGGAGGGTCTAGTGCCCCGGAGAGCCCAGTGGGACATTCTTCAGCCTGGCCTGCTTAGAACAGACAAGATTTGGGGTGGAGAGGAGGGACAGGCTGCCTGATGCTTGCTGTCTGAGCGGGCGTTCTGGCCAGTCTTGGCTCTCGGGCAGAAGAAGAGGAGGCTGCTGGTCAGCAGGGGCCCTGCAGCTCTGGGGTCTTGGTGCCTCTCGGGTCTGGCTGCAGGAGAAAGGACCCTGCCCGGCAGCAGTGGGAGTCCACGCCTCCTGGACTGGCAAGACCTAAGTGTGCATAAGCGAGTCTTCCACGCCAGGCTCCCTTTCTGACGCCACTCATGGCCCATCACTGGTGGGAGTAGCAGTGGCCCTCAGGGTAGTGGAGCTATCATCTCAGCAATGAGACTGGTCCTGAGACCAGTGCCCTAAGCAGGGCACACAGGAGCCACGGCAGGTAGGCGCTGCCCCGTTGGCATCCCTCTGGTTTAGCTCTCTGCTCTCACAGCAGGATGTTTTGTGTATGGGGCTTGTCTCCCCCAGTAAACTCCAGGCTGTGGGTGGAAGGACCAGGGTCTTGCACCTCTCGCTGTGCCCATCCTAGCACAGCCCTCACAGAGTGGATGCTTGGTCTCTCTCTGGGCTTATGCTGAAGGCAGCTCACCGGTGCTCAGGGAGACCCAGGGTCCTAGCCCCCTGCAAGTGGTGGTGACAGTTCCCATCTAAGCCGCCTGGAGGCTCGGGGCATCTTACAGCCTCTGCTTGTTCTCCATTGAGGGTCATCATTTATGAGCCTGTGGCTCCCATGGTGATGGAGGGGGTGGGGAGGAACTGCAGATAGTGGCTTTAAGAACTCGGATGGGACCCCCTAAGAACCTAGAGATTCCGCAGAAGGACTGGGGCCAGGACCCAAGGGACAGAAAGATAAGAGAAAAAATTGGGCATCAAAAGTCGAGAGAAAATATTTTACTTAAAGTTAAAAAAAATGTATACAACACAATTCCTGGTAAAAAAAGAAGGTGAAGGTGGGGTAAAGGCGGGAACAGGTATGGGAAGGTCAGAGGAGGAAAGTGGGTAGCAGAAAGACCAGAGAGGCTGCTGAGGAGTGGACTGGGGCAGGCCAGGGGCCAGTGGGTACAGTCCCGTGAACCACAGACAGGGCTGACTCTTCTGAGCTCAGGGCATCTTTGGAGCATCCACTGTGTGCACAGCCCTCAAGATGTTTCAAGGGACAAAAATATCTGAACTTAGAAACCCTCAGGAGAGCCCCAGGTGGGCCATGGCCTATTAGAGCGGCTGTGCCCAGGGACCAGGACAGCCCTCCTGTCCTCACTAATGTCTGTGTGAGTCTAATATCCAAACCAGCACTTATCACTGGAAATAGGCAACGGGAGGGAGGACAGGACATAAAAGAAAAGCAGGCGTAAGTCCCACTGCCTGGGTGGGCCACTCCTCCCGGCCCCCCGCCCTCCTCCCATGGCCTCCTGACTCTTACCAGAGAGGCTGAAGCTGGATTCATGAAGGTCCCGCATGCCCCCATGCCGGGTGACAGGCCGGGTAGGAGTGTCTGCGAGTGGGGTTCCCATCTCTTTTTTCCCAGGGTGCACGACAACAGCGACATCCCCTAGGTAGGGAGTGCGGTCCACTCCTCTAACCTTTAAAGTCTAGGGAAGGATGGAAGAAGAGCAGAAGCACAGGACAACACCATCAGAACTGACACAACCGTGGCCTCCCTGGGGGCCGGTGGGACATTAGACACTGCCACTCCGCCCAAGACCCAAGTCACTGCAAGCGACCAAGGCTTCTTAAACCTTGAGTCCAGGGGTTGGAGTTTCCTCGTACGTCCTAAAGAGCATGTGCATATGTGTACGTGTGTGCATGCGTGCATGTGTGTGAATGCACATGTGTGTGTGCGTGCATGTGTACAGGAGAGATACTGGCTTCCCCCCAACACTGGTGGAAGCCTTACCAAGGTAGCAGGTAGAATCTGAGGAAGTCAACTTTAACCAAATTTCTTTTCTTTTCTTTTTTTTTTTTTTTGAGACAGAGTCTCACTCTGTCACCCAGGCTAGAGTGTGGTGGCGCGATCTTGGCTCACTGAAACCTCTGCCCCTCTAAAGCGATTTCCCTGCCTCAGCCTCCCGAGTAGCTGGGATTATAGGTGCCTGTCACCGCGCATGACTAATTTTTGTATTTTTAGGAGAAACGGGGTTTCACCATCTTGGACAGCTGGTCTTGAACTCCTGACCTCGTGATCCACCCGCCTCAGTCTCCCAAAGTGCTGGGATTACAGGCGTGAACCACCGCGCCCAACCGGAAATCAACTTTAGAGAGTTCCCTCCCACACAGCACAACATTACCCACCACCTTAGGCTTCCACGAAACTACACCCTTTACCGGTCTGACAACTCGGAGAGAACAGAAGCTAAACACAGCCCCATCTGGAGACCAGAGGCCCCCAGTAGCAACACTAGCTCATTCGGTACTCACAAAGGCAGTAGAGTTAGGAGTCTATATTCTATAACCAGACTGCCAAGTTCCAGTCCCAGCTCTGTCACTTGTAAACTGTGTGGCTTTGTGCAACTTACTTTTCTGTGCCCACAATACTAGTACCTACATCAGAGAGTTGCCGGAGAGCAGATGAATTAGTATGTGTAAAGCTGTTCCAACTGCTTTGGCACATGAGAGGCAACATAGAAGTAGGAGCAGTTATTACTACAGAGGTCATTTATGGTCCTACATCGTATTAAAAAGTGCTATTGGGCTGGGCGCAGTGGCTCACGCCTGTAACCCCAGCACTTTAGGAGGCCGAGGCGGGCAGATCACTTGAGCCCAGGAATTTGAAAGCAACCTGAGCAACACGGTTAAACCCTGTCCGTCTCTACAAAAAAATAAACATTAGCTGAGTGTGATGAGTGAGAGACCCCGAGTTTGCTTTCAGATTTAGCCCTGTGATCACGAAAGTCACGCTTTCTTCACTCAGGCAGCCCAAGCCTGCGCCCCCACGGCAGACCTGGCAGTGGATTTCTTCGCTCACTGGCCTCTGGGAGGGAAGGGTCCTTAGTTTCTCTGAAAGCTCTGAGCCCTCTCGTGTGTTCTGTGTGCCAGCAGTGTGGGCGTCCCGTGTTCAGGTGCCTGTTCCTCCTGTGCTTCAGACAATGCTTTGCAAATGCCAGCTCGACCCCCACTTGCTTCATCAAGAGTGGGAGGCGGCCAAGCCAAAGCAGTATTTCCAGCCCCCAGCACCTCCTCCAACCCAAGCCTGCTTATCCGGAGGAGCTCAGCGGTCGCACACACTCACATTTCCCATTTGTGCCCTCAGCAACTGAGGACCCCTGCTGCCTGACCACTTAAAATGCCACTTGGTAATCAAAGACGGGGAACAGAAATCAGCATTTTCTGACTCTAGCGTTCCCTGGCCCTGCCACACACTCCCCTCTCAACGCTGGAGAGAGGGCAATGGAATTGGGTCGAAAACTGGAGTGAACATCTCTTTGAGATTTAAAACAGTCATGGAGGATGTTCCCCGGCAGGGGGCGCCAACACCCCTGCATCTTCCCCCTCCCACCTCACCTTCTCTCTCTGGACCAGCTTCTTGTAGACAGTGTCTGGGAAGGACCTCAGGGGACAGAACTTGCCGGTGCCCTCGGCGCACATGAAGACGCCGTTCTCATACACGACGCGCCCCCGGCTGATGGTGACCAGTGGCACTCCGTGGCAGCGCATGTTCTCGTACAGGTTGAAGTCTCCTCCCTGGACCTGCGTGCTGGCTGAGATGGTCCTGGTGGGGAGGCAATGGCGGGAGAGAGAGCGCTGAGGACATGTCAAAATGTCACAGCTCCATGGGAGGGGTGAACTCCAAAGGCTGGTTGTTATGGGCTGAATTGGCTTCCTTCAAAATTTTTCCGCTGAAATCCTAACACCCAGAACCTCAGAACATGGCCCTATTTAGGGCCTTTAATGGAATCATTAAGGTAAAGTGAGGTCATATAGGTGGGCCCTAATCCAATCTGACCAGTGTCCTTATAAGAAGAGGAGACAGACACACCAGACATGTGTGACACAGAAGAAAGAC